AGGGAAGCAAAGGGAATCAGACATTAAGAAGCTTAATAAACTGGGAGCTGAATCCAATCGTTGCATCTGCTTCACTAGGAAGCTACTGCTTCACAGGCTCCCCAGGGGACCGCCACCTCTCTCCTGGGACCCCATCCCTGGAGGAAGGCTCATTACAGTCATTACCCAGGATTACTGAGGGAGAGATAAGACAATAAAGGAGAAAGCCCTCCGCTGGGCACACGCACAGTAGAAGCCAAGATGGCATAGAGAGGAGCATGTACTGTGAGGCACGGGCAGCAGGAACTAAGAGGGTGACCACAAGGGGCGGGGCCTAGCCTGGGAAAAGGGTCGGATTGGATAAGGGACACAGAACCCTGGAAGATCTAGGAAATGGACTGGTTAGGGGGAGGGCCCAACCAGCCTCTGAAAGGTTGAAAAACTGACTGGTTAGATTGAAGAAGTACCTGGTCTTTCCCAAATCCAAGATAATATAATCCCAACTTAACAAAGCTCTCTCTCTCTCTCTCTCTCTCTCTCTCTCTCTCTCTCTCTCCCCCCCCCCCTCCTGCTCCCCTCCCTCCCTCCTTCTCCCTTCCTCTCCCTCTTTGTTAACACCTGCTCATCCCGTACAGCCCCGCTGGTGTCCCTCCATAGCAGCCATGTGGGCCTAGCAGCCCCTTGGGGCCCAGCCAGCCTGCAGGCTCCAAGTGCCGGCCTGGACACAGCACCAGCTGAAGCACGGCAGGAGCAGACGACATGGCGGATGGGGCCAGGCCTGGACTAACCGGCCTGGGCTTGGGCGCGGCGCAGAACTTTTGGACACTGGCCTTTGGGCCTGATGAAGACACGGCTGGACTCTTTTCGACGACGGACAGAGATGAGACATTGGGAACCTGGGGGCAGCCTTCTATTCCCACCCAAATCTTCCCACCAGACCTCATCCTCGCTTGTGGGTCCCCAAAAATGTCTTGTGACCCGACAAGGGCCCCATTTTCACCAGCAACATCACGATCCAACAATTTTGCTCCTTGGTATTTACACAAAGGAATTGAAAATTTATGTCCATACCAAAACCTACACACAATGTTTGTAACAGTTTTATTCATAACTGCCAATTCATGGGAGCAACCAAGACATCCTTTGGTAGGGGAATGGATTAAGTAACCTGTGGTACATCCAACCAGTGAAATATTACTCAGCACTAAAAATAAAGTGTCAAGTCATGAAAGAACATGGAGCAAAATATAATGAAACCAATTTGAAAGTTTAATGAAACTAATTTGAAAAAGCTATAAACTGTATGATTCCAACTACATAACGTTCTAAAAATGCAAAATTATGGAGACAGTAAAAAGTGGTTGCTGAAGAGGGAATAGATAACAAGGCCATGCACAATAAAAATACTCTGTATGACAATATAATGATTGACACATTTCATTTTGCATTTATTCAAACCCATAGAGCGTCCAACACTAAAAGTAAACTATGGACCTGGGGTGACTATATGTATCAGTGTAAGTTCATCAGTTGTAGCAAACGCATCACTCTGGAGGGAGGGTGTTATAATAGAGAGGATATGCATATGTGAAAGCAGAGGGTATATGCAGAATCTTTGTATCCTCCTCTCCATTTTGATGTGAACTAAAACTGCTCTAGAAAAATAAAGTCTTGCCCTAGCTGGTTTGGCTCAGTGGATAGAGCATTAGCCTGTGAACTGAAGGGTCCTGGGTTCGATTCCAGCCAAGGGCACATGCCTGGATTGCGGGCTCAATCCCCAGTGGGGGGCGTGAAGGAGGCAGCTGATCAATGATTCTCTCTCATCATTGATGTTTCTATCTCTCTCCCTCTCCCTTCCTCTCTGAAATCAATAAAAATATATTTTAAAAAAGAAAGAAAGAAAGAGAGAGAGAGAGAGAGAGAGAGAAAGGAAGCCTTTGTCCTAGCTGGTTTGGCTCAGTGAATAGAGTGTGGGCCCAAGGACTGAAGGGTTCTGGATTCAATTCTGGTCAAGGGCAAGTACCTCAGTTGCAGGTTTGATTCCCAGCCCCAGTTGGGCGCATGCGGGAGGCGACCAACTGATGTGTGTCTCTCTCACATCGATGTTTCTCCCTCTGTGTCTTTCCCCATCCTTTCCACTCTCTCTAAAAATCAATGGAAAAATATCCTCAGGTGAGGATTAACAAAAAAGAAAAAAAAGTCTTTAAAAGAAAAAAAGGTTGAGTAGCTGTGACAGAGACCATAATGGCCCTCAAAGCCACATATATTTACTATCCATTGCTTTTAGAAGTCTGCCTGCCCTAGTTCCATATATTAAACTAGAGGCCCGGTGCACGGATTCGTGTACCAGTGGGGTCCCTCAGCCTGGCCTGTGGGGATCAGGCCGAAACCAGCCTGGTGCACAGATTCGTCCAGGGCGTGTCTAGCCCATCTCACCCAGTCCCAATTGAGGCCGATCAGGCCCGACTGGGGCAGATCAGGGCCATCTTACCCAGTCCCAGGGCCAATCAGGGCCGACTGGCTGGGGAGGGACCACAGGAGGGCTCCAGGGCGTGTCCGGCCCATCTCCTCCAGCCCCGATCAGCCGTACTCCAGGAGCAAGCTAACCTCCCAGTCAGAACGTCTGCCCCCTGATGGACAGTGCACATCATAGCAACTGGTCGAACAGTTGAACAGTCGGACACTTAGCATATTGGGCTTTTATTATATAGATGAGCAGATTAGATTGAGACACTCAGTTTCTACCTGCCCCTCAAAATCACACTAAACCACTACAAAGGCAACTTAAACATTTCATGTCTATTGTAATGTTGCAATGAAAACTATCATCAAAAAATATTGAGGAACTCATGAAATTAACAAAGGTAGACAGGATCCACAACAAAAATGCTATAGCTATAGTCACGGAAAAGAAAACGTCACTGCAGAAATAGTTCTTCATTTAAAAAGCCCCAGAAAAATCCTAGTTTCAGATTAATAAAATAGAAAGAGTCTTTGAAGAAACGTCAAGGTAATGTTTACAATCAGACCAGTCTTAGCCACTCCTCCTAGCACATGTGTGAAGTCAGACAGCTTTGACTTTTACTTCCAACACCAAGCTCTCTGACCAATATGGAAACCCAGTCCACACCCCTCAGAAGCTTTAACTGTGAGGTTGAAGCTAGAGAGAGAAGCAGAGCAAAGCCTCTGCTGACACTAGCACAGGATGAAAAGAGACCGTAAGGTGACAACAACCATTCCAGAAATCAAAACACATGTATTCTAAAACTTAGCGTGGTAATTGCAGGGGGGAGAGGGGAGGTGGGTGTAGGTGGAAGAGGGCCTAGAGGGGATAAAAGGTGATAGAAAAAATAAAATAAATTTGTAAAGTAAACAAGAATAACAAAACCACACAAAACTCCAAAAGATGTCACATTCCACAACCCTTCAATTAACAGACACTGCCCAGTGCAGCACAGAAAGAGACGGGAAGCTTACCACCTCCTGCCATGAAAGCTGTGCACAGTCTTGACCCAAGCCAGAAGAGGTAACACAGAAACCAAATCAGAAGGTCAATCTCACTTATGATTATACCAACACATATAAAACTGAATCCAGCGTAATACTGCTAACCACAATGACCAGGTAGGGTTTATTCTAGTAATATAAGACCAGGGCAGCTAAATAGAAGAAAAGGAGAACTTGATAAATTGTTGGAAAAATATTAAAAGTATTCATCAAAGTCAAATAAAGATAAGGATAAACATGCTCACTTCAACATCTGAATATTATACCAAGGACCTTAGACAATGTAAAAGTATATGAAAGATATATAAGATCTAAATGTTGACAAAAGAACACCAAAATTACATTATTTATAAATAATAAGCCTTTATCTGGAAAATACAAGAAAATTAATTGAGAAATAATAATAACTAGTGCAAGTAATTAGAAGGTTGGCATCTAAGATAAGCACATAAAATTTAGTAACGTTCCTGCAGACCTACAATAACCAGACTTCAACAGAAATGGGAAGGGAAAGATCCAATTCAAAGGTATGAAATAGCTAGGAATAAATCTGAGGAAGAGAAAAAAGATACAGAACCAAGGCTATATAAATAAATAGTTATTATACAATGCTATAAAAAGGAGAAGAAGGACGTGAAAAGCAGTTTAAGATAAAACATGACACAACATCTGGGGAAATGCAAATTCAACTGCTAATGTTTGTTTTTTAACCTTGAAAAATTTTTTAAATAGCAACAGTAAATGCTGACAGGAATATGAGGAAACAGGTACTGTCATATAATTAATGGAAATATAAATGATTGCAACCTTTTAAAAATATAATCTGGCAGGATTCATTAAGATGTACAATGAACACATTATACTTAGGACTGTAATTCTATATTTAGGAATACATTCTATAAATACACATATTAATGTTCTGAAAGACTTGATACAAAGATAGACACTGCTTGTTTATAAATAACAAAAAAACACAAATATTCATTAATGAATAATGTTTATAAAGAAATAATTTTAAAATATGGATGAGACTATGCTATGGATTACTATTCAACAGTATATTAAAAAGTACTAGTAATAAAGTAGATTGATATGTACTGAGATGTAAATATTACACAAAAGTCTGTAATTCTAAGGAAATAGTACAATCCTATTTATGTAAAAAACAAAAAAATTCCAAATCTATAAACACAGTTGTATATGAAATTACTTAAGAATTATAGATACTTTTAAGTCAAAGGCTAATGCCAAATTACTCTCTCTGTTTTGTAATAATTATCTTCATATGCCATGTCATCATACATAGGCGGCCTCTTTAATTATTAAACATTCTTCACAAATTTTCAAGTCAAATACATTACATGTTATTTTACAAAAACCAGCTTTAGGTCATGATTTTCTAATTATGTAAGTGTTTTGGCCAAATTTTATACATAAAGACAGCGTATAACTTTTTATATATGGCATTTAAGGTCAGATTCAGCATGCTAAAAGGAGAATTTAATTATACTTACCAATTTCATTGATCACTGCTCTTATTTTTGAGACAAAAGGACCAACTTCACTAGGATTCATTTTGACTCTTTCCTTAAGGTCAGCACCTGCAAAATATTTTATTTACAAATATAATCTAGTTATAAACAAAATTTTAATGAAATAAATTGAAAACTTTAAATTCATATATAACATTAAAAGTAACTGAATTTATCTGTTAAAGGAACTATATTACCTAAATTTTCCTCTCAAAGAATCAGGAAGAATAATGTATTTGTTTGTTCATATAACTACTGTGTACTTAATAATGGTTCTCAAAATCTGTGATATTAGTTCCCCTTAAACCTCTTAGAGGAAAAGATTTTGTTTAGGTTATATGTACCAATAGTTTATTAGAAACTAAAATTACAAATTTTTAAAATATTTATTTATTTAATAATACAAATAAACCCATTAATGTTAACACAAATAACTACAGATTGATGCCACTTCCTTGGTTTTTGCAAAGATGTTGGCAGTTTTACCCACTATTGCTTTTGCCTCATCAGTGCAAATGTCAACCCAGTGAAAAGGGCACAGGATGCCTTTCTACAGAGAAAATCACTTCCTGGAAGCCTGTCTTGGTGACTACAGATCACGTCTGAGAATCACTGGCTTTCACATATGAACAAACTGACAATATCATAATTATGAACTTATCACTCTGAAACAGAGAAAAATAAACATAAAGAATTCTTTAAGAAACCATATACTCTGTGGCTCAACAAAGACATTCTTTTTAATAAAATTAAACTATTTGAGATGGGTAGGTCCCCATTTAAGTAAATAGACAAATAGAAAACATAAAATTAGAGCACAGAGGGCATGCACTCAGCTACTTAGTTACTTATTGGCCCATTATACATGAATCATGACTAGACATAATATCAAGTACCAAGCAGCTGAGGTTGGGACATTCTGAGCCCACATACTTCCTATGAGAGTGAGAACTGCAGTACACATACACACACACACACACACACACACACACACAGTAGAGGCCGGGTGCACAAAATTCGTGCACAGGTAGGGTCCCTAGGCCTGGCTGGCAATCAGGGCCAATCGGGGCCTTCCTTCCCCTGGTTGTTGGCTGCCGGCTGGCGCCTTCCTTCCCCTGGCTGCCGGCTGGGGCCTTCCTTCATTCCATACCGCCCCCTGGTTGTCAGCACACGTCATAGCCAGTGGTCAAACTCCTGGTCGGTTGAACTCCAAGGGGACAATTTGCATATTAGCCTTTTATTATATAGGAGGATATTCACACACCCTAGAAAATCTCTCAAACACACGCCCAAGGAAATGAGAAAATAACAATTAATACAACATATGTAAAAGAGCAAAAAATTGGAAATAACCTAAATATTGATCAAAAGGATTGTTAATAAGACAGAAAAAAATATATAATGGAATGAAGAATTCTAGTGTAAATGAAGGAATTAGAGTACAAATATAGGTAGATCTAAAAATGTTGAAGAATCTATAATTACACTTACTAGTATAATTATATACAGAAAAGATACACAGGATAATAACCATTTTACACAAGGATGCTATTTAGGCATATAAAACATACATGGATTGATAAATACCAAATTCAAATGGTGATCTCTGGGCGGGGACAGGTGATGAGATTCAATCTGCACAAAGCGAGGACTTTAATCTCTGTAACATCATATTGCTTAATAAGTTCAGTTGGGTACCCGAACTGTTAAACGTTTGTGGATACCTAATATATGTCTTCTAATTTTTCCATGAAGAATTAAAATTTAGCATGAAAGAAAAATGTTATTAAAGCCAAAAAATATCTAAGGTAGGATGTATTTGCTAAAAGACATAATGGTTCAACTCACTACCACTTAACATTGAGAATATGATTTTAAATTGAGAATATACAATGTTGCTCAGTGTATACTGGGCTAATACACATCTAATCTAATAAAAGAGTAATATGCAAATTAGCTGTCACTTCGCAACAAAGATGGTGGTGCCCATAGCGTCCTGTGCCCGGAGCGGCAGCAGCGGAGAGCTGCCAGTGGTGGTGGGCGTGGTGGCCTGGCTGCCAGGCTGCCGGCTTGGGTGGGCTGTACCCCGGGCTGCTGGGGTCTGCGCTGAGGCGACCGGTGGTACGGGCAACTGCGGGGCGCGTCTGAGGCTGGGGCGCTGGGAGACGTTGGACTGCAGCCCAGGAGGCGAGGCGCCAGAGGACCCGGCACTGAAGCCGCCTCCTACGAGATGTATCCTAGCCTAGGTGTGCAGGAAGCGGGTTCGGGGAACCTCTCCCTTTGCGGCGCCCAGAGCCCGGCTCGGAGAGGTGCAGCGGAGAAAGGCCGAGTTGCTTTACTAGGAGCAGCAGACCCGCCCTAGGCCGCTTCTCCTTGGGAATCTGGAGAAGACCCACTTCCAGTCCGGAGGCCGACGTGAACGCTGGGCGTCTTTTGAAGAATGATCGTTTTGCTTGGGAATATGGTCTGTCTGTAGAAAGCTGGGAAAGAACAAAATCTGTTACCAGTCCTCCTCCAAACAGACACCCTCTGGAGCTGAAAGCCTCAAGAGCGAGCGCTCTCACGCCCCCATCTCTGGTCCTACCAGTGTCCGAGGCGGATCTGGTGAGTAGGAGGCCACCCTGCCTGTCGTCAGTCCGAGGGAGACATGTCTGGGAGTAGTGAGAAGGGGCATCTTCTAAAAGAAGCTTCTCTGTCATTAACCCTTTCATAAATTTCTCCACTTTGGTAACAAGACATTTACTTTTTATATATTCAGAAGCAGGATATTTCCCACATGCTCCAATCAGTAGGATGCAGCCCCTTGCTCTACACCAGTCACAGCTGAAAAAAGAGATGCCCATTAACCACATACCCTTCCCCCACAAACTTCAAAAAGTTGGGTTGGCTTCCTTTCCAGGGAGCTAGGACTGATTTTGGGGTCCCCGATACACTGGACCTGGTCGCTGTGGAGCGATCTACCTGCTCAAAAGACAGGGGTGGGATAAAACAGAGGATGTATTTGAGTTTTGTTCTGTTTTTCCAAAATTCCCTGTTACAAACACTTCTGCAGTAGTCCTCAATTGTACTCGAAGTACTTTATTTCCTCCATTTGTATGCATACTCCTTTCTCCAAATTTTAACATTTTTGAAACCAGGATACATCTTAACAGAAAGGTTAAAAGGACTTGCTAGATGCTAGGCATCTACGTGGATAGATAGATAGATAGATAGATAGATAGATAGCTAATATGCAAATTGTCCCCTCGGGAGTATGCCCAGGAGACCAGGAGTTTGATCGCTCGCTATGACGTGCACTGACCACCAGGGGGCAGCGTGGAACAAAGGAAGGCCCCAGCCGGCAGCAGAAGGCCCCGACTGGCCCTGATCGCTGGCCAGGCCAAGGGACCCTACCCGTGCATGAATTTCATGCACCGGGCCTCTAGTTGGTTAATAAAAGTAGTTAAATGTAGTGCTCTATGGGAGAGAGGAGCAGATGGAAGAGGCAAGCACTGCAGAGGGGAAAGACAGGGACTCTGAATGAGTCCTGGAGGAGCCCCAGGAATGCACCCTGGAACCCACCAAGTCCTTACATGAGGTGCCCTCTAACACAGCACCTATGCTGGCTCTGTGGCACACCGCCCGCTGGGAGTCCTTACATGAGGTGCCCTCTAACACAGCACCTATGCTAGCTTTATGGCAAACCGCCTGCTGGGAGACCGCACTGGTTTGGAGGAGGCTCCTGGAGCCATGCCAGGAGCTCAGGGGTCCAGGGTTTGGTCCTGACACCTGTGGCCCATGCACTGCCCACCAATCACAGCTCAGAGGTTTAGAAATCGCTGCTCTAAGGTATTAACATTCAAATACATAAATATAACAAACTAAGATACTGAAACAACTTTGAATAACTTTATTAGTCAGAAGCACCCATACTTCTAATCACATCATGACATCTGTATCCATTTGAACAATACACATAACAATCAAGCACGTTGACAATTTTAGTGAGAAATTTTGTCAGAACACAATTTACTAGAATTCAAAAGCAGAAGTAAAACTACCTTTACTTAAAAAAAAAACACCAGTGTAGTTCAACGAAACACTCAAGTGAGAGTTCTATATATAAGAATCAATTACCAAGAATTGTTTATAATCTATTTTAGAGATTACAAAGGGAAAAATTCTCAGTCTCAGTAACTTCTCATAAAATTTCACTTCAAAAAGTTTATGGTAAAAACAATCCACATGTACTTTCTACTTACTTTTAGAACACTAAAAGAGCAAAAATAGATGACTAGGGTTACATGTTTACAACCAATACAGTAATCGCACTAAAAGGACTTTTTCATAATTTCATTATAGATAATACATTAAAAATGTTACTACAAAATCATTTTGAAATAGCAGAATTATTTGATATTTTCTTTGAGTGAGTGAGTGAGTGAGTGAGTGTGAGTGTGTGTGTGTGTGTGTGTGTGTGTGTGTGTGTGTGTGTATAAGAAACAAGATAGCCCTAGCTGGTTTGGCTCAGTGGATAGAGCGTTGACCTGTGGACTGAAGGGTCCCGGGTTCGATTCTGATCAAGGGCACGTGCCTGGGTTGGGGGCTTGATCCCCAGTAGGGGGCGTGCAAGAGGCAGCCAATCAATGATTCTCTCTCATCATTGATGTTTCTATCTCTCTCTCTTTCTAACTTCCTCTCTGAAATCAATAAAATAAAAAGAAACAAGATAAAAATTGGACAGGGCACACACTCAAGACAATCTCATGTAAACTATTGTAGCCAGTGCTTCACACTGAGCTTTGATTATCAAAATGACATGCTCAGTATTCTACAAGAAGTGCAGGCAGCCCTGGCCCCTGTGGGCTGGGTGTCCTCCAGGCACTACAGGGTTGCGGCTTGATTCCAGGTCAGGGCACAGGCCCTGGTTGCAGGCTTGATCCCCAGAAGGGGACATGCAGGAGGCAACCCCCTTCTGACATGGATGTTTCTCTCTCCCTCTCCCTTCCTCTCTCTCTAAAAATCAATAAAAAACTTTAAAAGAAAAAAAAAAGTACAGGCAAAAAAAAGTATACAAGAGTGATTTCCAAACTGGAGTCATGCTTAGGGTATGGCATGGTATCTGAAAACATACACGTATAGGAAACATTGTCTACAGTCATGATTACTATGATATACTTCTTTTTTTTCTGTATCTAGATATCATTGTAGTTTATAACAGAAAATTCATTTAAATACATTATTATAACCAGAGTGGTATTTTGACATTATGCATTTTCTCAATCAACATAGGACAGTGATGGCGAACCTATGACACACGTGTCAGAGGTGACACACAAACTCATTTTTTTGGTTGATTTTTCTTTGTTAAATGGCATTTAAATATATAAAATAAATATCAAAAATATAAATCTTTGTTTTACTATGGTTGCAAATATCAAAAAATTTCTATATGTAACACGGCACCAGAGTTAAGTTAGGGTTTTTCAAAATGCTGACACGCCAAGCTCAAAAGGTTCGCCATCACTGACATAGGACCATTATGATGCTTAAATGCATGAGATTTTAGAGCTTAAAAGGAAAACATATTCCAAAGCAGTAAATCACCAGAACGGTAAAGCAAGCCCTGCCCTACAAGTCAGGGGAAGTAGCTCCAGCTAAACCACCCCTTTCATCAGGTCCTTGACCTTACATAGACTCTTTAAAAAGATAGCATGTGACTTACCCAATGAGATTGTTTTATTCTAAAAACTAGTGGCCTGGTGCACGAAATTCGTACACATTAAAAGGGAAGATACTCAGACCCAGCCGGCCCCACCCCCATTGGGCGAGACCCAGACCCGGCTGGCCCCACCCCCGTCACGTCCCTGGCTAGCGCCAGGCAGGGACGCAGCGTCACGTCCCCACCCACCCGCGTGCACCTCGCCATGCATGCAGCCCTGCCCACCCGCACCTGCCACGCACGCAGCCTCCTGCTGATCAGTCGTTACTGCATGAGGGCGTCATGAACATTAGCATATTAGCTCTTTATTATATAGGATGTTTTCTTCTCAAATGTTTGTAACAAATAATTCAGAAGCCCAGTTAACGTCACAACTTCAGTTACCAAAACCAAAAAGTATACTAATACACTTGGTGATTTTTTTCAAAATTATTTACTTTGCATGTATATTCACTTAACATAATTTCATGTAACAATTATTTTTACAGACAGAGAACAGAAGCTATCACTCCAACCAGAGTCTCACTTGCAGACAGTTCCAGCACCAGAGGCACCGTGGGCATAACACCATGCACAGCTCTTACAACATGCATTCTCCACACTTCATGCAGGCTTCACATTATCAGAGCAAACAGTTCCTCAACATACATATTTGTATATTCATGTGTACTGGTATGTGTATACATCTGTATAATGAAATACAAGAAGAATAAAGAATATAAAAACTGTTATTTTTATTAGAGGAATAATGGAGTAGAGGAAGTGGGATGACAGGGGGATTTCTCTCTTTATATACTTTTTCATACATTCTGTACAAATCTCACACATTTTGACCTATTATATTTTTTAAACTAAAATTTAATTTTAAAAATGTAAGTGAAATATGGTTATTGATTCTAAATAATAGATTTAAATGGGAAGTCAGAAATCACTCTGTCCAACCTCCAATGCATATAGGGATCAGTTTAATAGGGCTTAATTATGTTTTTCTAATATCTTAGAAAAACGATACAGAAAAAATGAACCAAAGTCAAGAACCAGAGACACTATCAGTGACTAGGAGGATGGTCTGAGACAATCCAGAGACACTGCTAAACACACCCAAAAGACTGTATTCTTCAACAATAACTAATAAATGAAGCCTAATTAAAATTAATATTTTAAATTAACAGAGACTATAAGTTTAAATTTATCTGGACTTACACTTAATCTGTACATATTAATAAAGACAGACCTACTAAACTGTTTCAAATATATGTAAGCAAAGAAAATCTTTCAAAGAAATTTGAAAGAATGGTTCTATTATACACATTGAATTAATAAATGATTTGCCCCAATTTTCCTATAATTCAAACACTGATTTTTTTTTTACAAAATACAGTAACAGTTCTTATGAGTTAAAATATAGATATCTTAATCATGACAAAGTTTAAAAGCATATACAGCAAAGAGAGTGTATCTGATTAATACTTGAAAAACGTATTCAAAGCTAACTTGTTAATCTAGTAAAAGGATGTGGTATATTACTTAATATGTCCCCAAAAAGGCAACCTATAAAAGACATCTGTAAAATGTATTAAAGCATTAAAGCCTATTTCAAAGAATATACATAATATAGCAATGCAAAACATATGGGCAGCAAATAAATAGGTAAGATTAAAAGAATTCTACCAATAACTACAGTGTTTTAATCACAAAACCTATTACTAACAAAAAGACAGTGTGGCAGGATAGTAAGAAGCTAGGAAGTGAAATGGGGAAAGTGGACTGGGGAAACTGAGACAAGACAATTAAACAAGGCCGAACAGTGTGGGCAGCTTGCAGCCAGCCTGTGAATCCCAAGACCTCATCCTCCCCCACCAAGGACACTTGAGAGCAAATGGTTTACACCCTCCCTCACTAGAGAACACAGAGCATAAGCCCCCCTGGCCTGGGAAAACAGAGAACAAACAGCCAATTAATGCCACTTGTTCCAGCTAAACCCAAGGGCAGGTGAAGTCTGGGGGACAAATAACAAAAGCCCCAAAAGCATCTGGATGGTATCACTTGAGAGAGCAATGTTAGGCAGGATAAACAGCTGCTAGGGCAGGAGGAGGGAAGGGGGAAGGGGAGTTTATCTCACCCACTGAACAAAGTCAGCAGTCTTGGGACTTGACGAGATAAAATTGCCAGATGATCTAATAAATTCCGTGAAAAGTCACAGCAACGTAAAAGGGGGACCTTGAAATCTAGTCTGACAGGTGAACCTTGAAACCTATAGGGGGAAGTATAAAACCCTTGAACCCACACCAGGCGGGACGCTCAGACCAGCTCAGTTGCCCATTTGTGCTTTATGCCAAGTGTATTCTTAATAAATTTGCTTGCTTTGTTTCCTTAAATTCACTTGCTTTGCTTCAACACTGCTTTCTATCACTTGTCTGAATTCTTTCCCACGAGCCGAGGAGGGGAGAACCTCCTCTGACTTGGGCAGCTCTCGGGTAACAACAGTAATGTTACTATGGTCATTAACACTATTTCTGAAGTGTTGTTCTACCTTCACAGTATCATGTCACTCCTCATGGATTCACATAATAGGGCCTTCTTTAAAGGCCCCCAAACTGACCAAAGTCCTCCCAATAAGGCCCTCAGCAGCCCTCACAGGACCTGAGAACAGTGACCTCACAGCCATCTGTCATGGCACTTGACTCAGTCCCCTGGAGGAATATTCACTAGTCCTAAAGTCACAGATACAAGAATGCTATTGTCTTGGTATACATTTTCCATATTCTTTAAGGAATAAAATAGAAATACATGTAAAGCCCTTATAAAAACTATGAAGAGCCATCAGTAACTTACTATTGACTATCCGTAGGTACACTGTGGCAATGAAGCCTCGAACAACCTACCAGGCAGATGGTGTTACTTGTGTTTGACAGATGTAAAAGCAGAAATCTGCACTGCAGAACCTCACCACACAGGCAGCTGAGGAGTATAACTTCACTGTCTTTGATTGCCAAAGGAGTTAAAACTAACCCTTGTAGGTATGCTACATTACATCAAGAGCCAAAATATAAACCATTTACATGGAATAGTCTTACATACCGTAAAATTCTGCAATATTTTCATGTGGAAGCCACAGAGTTTGAAGCTCGGAAAACTAAGGACCCTTAAGAAACTGAAGAATATCAGTTTCACAACTAAGACACCTCTAAAAAGATTCTATCTAGAAGTATTTCCCCATCTTTTCAGCATCATTCTTGGTATACACTAAATGTTCAATACTCGATTAATGAATAAAATAGTGTATGTTGTCATTCTTTCAAAAGTTTGGTTACCTCAAAGGGATTATCCCATTTATATTTTCACTGGGGAAAAAAAAACATTCTTCAGTCAACTTCTCCCTTCATTTACTTATTAGTAAATTACAATGATACTGCATGTTATCAGCATTTTTTATCTTAATCATGTACATTGTTTACTAGTTGAAACAGATTCACTCAATTTCATGGCTTAGAAATACTCACAAATATGGAAAATAAAAAAAAAACATAATCTTTTGGTAAGCAGTATAAATGGGAAAACAACATTTATCTTTCACTGCTGTAGCTACCAATTTTAAAATACATCCTGTGAACATAGGTAGGCACTACTACAAACACCAACCTTCAAAGCAAATGTCTATACTTAACATATTGTAGTGGGGCAGCTATTGCTAGTCAAGTAAAGTATTTTCTAAGCCACTGATAAATACAGCACACTGTTGTGGGTAAAAAATACAATTTTTCCTTCCCAGCTGATCTTTCAGAAATAGTATTCATGTACTACACACAAATGACTCAAATTATTGTTTCAACTTCCAAACAAGCTACATGTTACAAAAGTGTCTAATACTGACAAAGCATCTTTTTTCTTGTAAACCAGTAAAAAAAAAAAAAAGACAAAGAGGAATTATGGGTAATGGAATTCAAACCACAGAACACATTATAATAGGCTATTAGTGAGGAAAAATTAGACTGCAATTTAATTCATAATAAAATTTATTTACATACCAGCACAGAATATCCCTGGGACTTCACTCCTCACTATTACAGTCCGTACTTTCTTATCAGATTTTAAAGCGTCCACAGCTTTTGAGAGCTAAATATAAACAGGGAGAATAAGAAGAAAAAGGGAGAACATTTTTCAGGTTGATGTCAACACTATAGTTTAATTTTAGAAGCAAAGAGTTTAATCTTTACACTCACCATTTTAACGAGATTTTTACTGAATGAATTTTTGGCATGAGCTCTGTTTATTCCAAGCACCACAATTCCTAGTTATGAAAAAAGCACAAGCACTTGAGTTAGTGAGTGTTCAGGGTACAGACTCCCACACACAGCTAGTTAACTGGACACTTAAGAAATCTACCACCTCCTCGAAGTGCCCTCCAAGAGCTTAGTTTTGTGTTTACCTTCTGTTTCAAGCATATATTTTAAAGAATGTGGTACTGTAACATATTTATAAAATCAATCTTCTGCTTCATATTCACTGCTTTTCTTCCGACTGATACAGAAGAGCTTTAGAACATCATGTCCCTACAATTTATCTCTTTAAGCACCACCAAGGTAATCAGCATATTTAAGTACACTTTATACCACAAGTTAGACTAACTAGAAGGAAGGCCACGCTTACTAGTGAAAATTCTCAATTACAGCATACTACTTAAAATGCGGTTGTATCACCTTCACCTACCTACAGAACTAATGGCTAACAAATCCTTGTCACAGGCAAGGACAGCAGGATCAGCTTTTTGCTAGTGGTATACATACCAGGTATTACCACCTCAATTACTCTTTTTGTCATACTAACTAGTTTTCATTATCTCCATCCCAAATTTCTCTCCCTCTATTGCATATACTTAAACTGAAGGCACTTCCACTTGGAAATCTAACAAGCAACTCAACCTCAATCTATAGAAACAAAGTTCATTCTATCTCCCACACAGCCCAGCTCTCCCTCCTAACTTCCCTAGTTTTATCAGAGACCATCACCTAAATCCAGGCTCCCATTCTAATTGCTGCAGTCAAATCAATATTCCAAAAATAATTCTAAGCATATAATTTAACCCCTGCTTAAATACCTTTAATTTTATCTTATTTCCAAAATGTCTGAGTTCAAAGACCTTAATTTGATATTCAAAGTTGTATATACCTGTACTCAACCCTGTCCCGAGTAAGCACAAATTTTCCTTGTATAACAGAAATGCCTTTCATCTAGTTGGGAATGGAGGTGGGTGTTAGGTCTGATCAAATAATTGATCAATACCCTATCCCCTGGGAACTGACCTTTCTGACCACTTTCACAAAAGACAATCCCCTTCACTTGACCACATTCCACTTACTAAGACCATTATCCTTCTCCTGTGGACATTCCCAGGATCTGGAACTGCCCAGAGAATTCTCTGCCCAGAAAATGCCCGCCTAGGAGTCCTTTAAAATCTCTGACTCCCCGTCCCTGGGTGCTGACGCCAATTTGGGGCTCAACCATCTGCTATACAGATGACCTCATAAATTCATAATCCCTCAATACTTAGGCCTCGTGCCTTCCTCCTTCGTCGACCCTAACATTTGATGCCGAAACCCGGGAGGGTTCCACAGGGAAGGGGAGCCATCACCCTGGCTTCGCTCACCCCGAGTTTGCTACTCAGAGAGCAGTAGGCAGTGGCAGCTCGTCCTGGGCTTGCCTCCCAATCCTACTTGGTGACTTGATTGCCGGCCTCGATCAGGCCTCCCTCCCTTAAGGGCCCTCCTGAACCAGCCAAGGAGGACACCGGATCGGGAACCTCCCCTTCTCCATCGCTGACCCTCCATCCCACACCGGCCAGTCTTCTCTAGGTGAGTGACGTTCCACAATTTCGTCTGGAGTCTTCTGTCCACTCTCCCTCACTGACTTCTCGAAGGTCTCTCTTCTCGAAAGCCCTAGCGCTAGGCCAGAAGGCTCCTCAGCCATTCAGCCCCGGGTCCTTCTGGACTGGGGACGCCCAGTCTGGAGGGTCATCCCTCGTTTCTCGGGGTGATTTGTTTAGCAGCGGGGACGCCTGCCCTAAGCAGTCACCTTGGGATTTGTGATCCGTCACTCACCCCTCCTCTCTCGTGGGCCACGCTACACTCCCTCTGCACTCACAGGGCAGATCAGGCCCAGGGCCCTCATTTTCTTTTCTAACACTGTTTGGCCACAATGTGAGCTAAATAATAAGTCTCAATGGCCTGAAAACTGCACTTTCCATCTTAACACATTGCGCGATTTAGATAATTGCTGTCACCGCAATGGAAAATGGTCAGAGATTCCCTCCGTCCAGGCCTTTTCACCCTCAGTCCCAGCCCTCTCTCTCTCAGTCCTGCTCTACCCGTCAGATCCTTCTCCTTCACACGAAACATCACCCCTAACACTTCTGATTCTGAATCTACTTTTGACCCAGGAGACCACCGACCGCTACCCCCTTGTGCACCTCCTCCCTCACCTACAGTAGATTCCCAAAACCTAGACCCTCCTAACCAGCAACCACCTTCTCCCCGACCCCTGAGCGCCCAAATCCTGAGAACTCAAGCTCCAGTACAGACTTTTCCCACCTAACACTCGCTCTCGGGCCACCCAAAGACCACCTTCCTCAATAGCCACTTCTATTCCTGTGCCCCATCTACCCCTGAGGGAGGGAGCAGGAACTGAGGGTATTGTCTGGGTACACGTCCGATTCTCTATGTGGGACCTCACACAGATTAGAGGCATCTCGGGTCTTTTTCTACCGACCCCACTACCTTTACCAAAGAATATGAGTACCTGACCCAGTCCCATGACCTGACCTAGCACGACGTCTATGTCATCCTGTCCTCCTCTCTCACCCCAGGACCATGCTGTGCCCTCCATAGACAGGACTCGGTGGCCAACCCAGTTGGCGCTGATGTGGTCCCCCAACTGACCTGAGATGGGACTAAAAGGTTACTTCTCCAGGGCACCAGCTCCGAAGCCATATAATCACCTGTCTCGTTGCCAGACTCAAAAAGCTGTCCATAAGGCAGTCAGCTATGACACAATAAAATCACTCAGGGCCCTGACGGAAACCCAGCTCTCCTCCCCCACCTCAAGGAGGCCTTACGGAAATTTACCACCGTAGACCCCACCTCCGCAGAGGGAACCCTTCTTCTGAACACCCACTTTATAGCCCCATCTGCCCCCGACATATGCCATAAACTTCAAAAAACAGACACGGTAAACAAACATATCAAAAAGACTTTATTAATCTGGCCTGTAAGGTCTTTAATAATGGAGATGAGGAGAGCCAAATCCAAAAACAAGGCGAGATCAGGCCTTCCAGCTCCACCTACTGCTCTCACAAACCCCAAAGGAAGTGCTGGTCCTCCAACAAGGGTAGGACAGGGGTTAAGCCTCCTCCAGGCCCTGCTTCAAATGCAGCAAGGAAGGACACTGGGTCTAGTCCTACTCAAACCCGAGACCCCCGCCTGGGCCCTGCCCAAGGTGCAGAAGAAAAAGCCACTGGAAATCAGGCTGTAGTCTGTCCCCTCCAGGTCAGACCTCAGACAGCCCAGCAAGACCACCCTATGGATCCGGTTTGGAGCTCCCAGACCTCCTGGGATTGGGCACTGAAGACTGAAGCTGCCCAGGCCCTGACAGGGCCGCACAGACTTACATCACCAGAGCAGAGCCTCGGGTAATGATTGTGGTGGCACATAAGCCGATCTCCTTTTTAATTGACACCTGGTGCCACTTGTTCTTCCCTCCACGAATTCACGGGAACCCTTGTCCCCTCCTCAGTCTGTTATGGGGGTTGATGGACTAGTCTCACAGCCATTAGCCACCTCACCTCACACTGCATCTTACTAGACACCCCCTTATCCACCCTTTTCTCTTTCTACCTCGGTGCCCGGCCAGGGCTGCAGTGCATCCCCTCATAAAGCCAGTTGTCCCAAACCACAGTCACCTGCCTCGGTTTCACTCTCACCCCACAAAGCCGAGCCATTCCTTGGACTGTAAATGCATTATTTCCTCCATGGCTGTCCCCTCCTCTAGACAAGAAATACTCTCCTTTCTCCGGCTCACTGGGTACTTTCGCCTCTGGTTCCCAACTTTAGTCTCCTCACAAAGCCCCTCTATGATAAGTGAAGGGACCCCTCACTGAGGCCTTAGATCCCAAGGCCAGCATTCTCACCCCTTTAATGCTCTGAAAACTGCTCTCACTTCAGCACGTTCTCAAAGAACAACTTTCTTTACTGCAAAACTGCAAATGCTTACTTAACAGCCCTGCTGCTATCAGAAGCTGAACTCATTATCACCCAAACCTTAGCATGTTATCCCTAAGGAAAATGTGGCAGTTTTAAATCCAAGCGGCTGGAGGCCTGGGAACTGCAGTCCTAGAACAGGCTGCAGGGCCTGCTCCTTCCTCCCCCAGCCTTTTCTCCAGCCCCATGTGCCTGTGCATAATTATCCACAGTCTTCAGTAACTTAAAGGCTTTGGAGCATTGCTGGGTTAAATGATAAACATCTAAATATTTTTAAGTAACATAAAATACTGAAACATTGATGTTAGACAAGTTTTAAATTCGCCTGCTCTTCACTTTTAGTACAAAAGGCCTCTTGTACTTTGTTGAAGGTATATTTTCTGGAAAGTAAGAGTGTGTTTAAAATGTGTTCATAAATGTCAATCTAAGAAATGCGGGTTGTTTACTTTTTGCTAAAGCTGGTTATTTGTGAATGGGTAGGAGGATTTGTGAAAGTTGTAGAAAAGTCTGTCCAGTGAGTCAGGACCTGATCCCCCTGATGTCTGAGGGACCCCTTCTCTCCGAGTGAGCCCAGGCTCTCCTGTGGCTTAGGTCTTTAAGTTGGAGCCTAGCCTTTCTTTATTTCCACTGCTCATTCACAGTCCGTGACACTATCATTGCAAGCCTCACAGATCTTCCTGCTTGGCATTTAGGACCCTCTCTCCCCTTTTCTAGCCTTCTTAAAGGTCATACACTGTGAAAGACACCGAGTCAGGAATGATCCCGTAACACAGGGAGATAACAAAGCAGACCAGGAGGCCAAGGCAGCGGCTCAGAGGAAGCCCCTGTCTCCCCAACTCTTAGCTCTACCCCATGTAACACCCTCATACACTCCAGGGGAGCTTAGTCCCTATTAGCTCTTGGGGTCACTCAGGAAGATCCATGGTTAAAATTTCAGGGCAAGTATATCCTTACCTAGGGACAGGCCCGTGATATCTTTCGGGCTACTCATAATTCCCTATATATAGGATACAGACCGCTTCTACAACTCCTAACCCACCCACCCCCACCCCATCACATGTCCTAGCCTAGCCTCCCTACTGCAAGATATCCCCAAAACCTGTTCTACTTGTTACTCAGTATCTCCCGCAGGACAGGGTAGACCTCCTCCTTTCCCCACTCATCAGGCAAGGGCCAAACCCCTGGACAAGACTGGCAGATTGACTGCACTCACTTGTCCCCCATTAAAAGAACCAAGTATCTCTTAACCCTCGTGGACACCTCCTCAGGCTGGGCAGAAGCATTG